ATCAATGTTTCCACGAAAGGGCTTTGCGCGATCAATGTCACTTCTGACAATGTCATCTGGGATCACGTAGTCCTCCTTGATCTTGTAGATGGTCTTGCCCTTCCAGAACTCTTCACTCTGTTCAGAAAACCTCTTCCTCTCAGTGCGCCAGTTGTCCTTGTGAAGAACCTTCTTCTTGCTCTTCTGGAATTCCATGTGAGTTTCTCTCTCATCAAGAAGTTGATCTTTTGGAATTGGAGTTTTCTCTGATCGAGTCATCTCATGTAAGTTCATTCTCTTGTCCTTGTGGTGCCTGATGAGTTCACGACGTAGTGGATCAACCTGCCAGTAGTCACCAGTCACCAAAGCTTCTCCTTCATGAACATCTTGTTTGACAGCAATCTGACTGTACTCAAAGTGATCGTGTTGTGAATAGAAACTTTTGACTTGTGGAGTCTTGAAATGAACTTGGCTCATGTACCATGCTACATCTTGTAGGTCGAGAATGAGATGAGTACTGATGGCTGTCCTCAAAACCATTTTTCTCATGCCAATACGTGCACAGGACAAATAAGCCTTCTCTGGAGTAAGTTCAAATTGAAATCCAAGATTTCTCATCTGTGGAAGTGACATCAACAATTGGGACATCACCTTCTTCGACAATGTCGAATTCTGTGAACTGAGTGTTCCATCCATGATCATACATGAATATCACGAGCTTCTCAGTACATTTGGGTTGTTGAGAATTTGCAAGGAAGAATCTTGAACTTGTTGGCTGAATTTCATACCAGAGTCCACTGTTGGGATGTGAGTCAACATATCTGCAAAATGCTTCAACTGCTCGTCGAGAGCCCATAGCTCTTGTGCATCCAAGATCCAGAATACACACAGTTGGTGGTGCAGAATTCTCTGTGTGAAAAGCTAGTCCATTCTCACATGCCAGATCAGTCTGTACAGTATGAAATGAAAAAGCACTCTGCTGCTCACCTGATTCCTTTGTCTCAGCAAAGCATTCAGAATGAGATGGTACCTCTAACTCTGTAGAGCATCCATATGAAAACCATGATGTGCCTTTTGCCAACGGCTTCCATGAAGCCTCACCTTCTTGTAGACCAACTTGCCTGGGCACACGAGCTGGACGTCGTTGTACACCTTGTCGAAGTGCAACAAGATCTCCAACCGGAACAGGGAACTTCTTGAGTCCTTCTCTGTTTTGCTGTGCTGTTGCATCACGTTGGTTCTGTCCTCCACGACGAGTGCGTCGATGTACTTCTTGTTCTGCATACGTGGATGCCAGGGCATCAACACGTGCTGGTTCAGTCTCTGCAAAAGCAAAGAAACCATGACCAGAGCTTGATGCAGCAGAAGAATAATGAGCTTGTTGTTGGTGTTGATTCTGTATGGCAGGAGTTGATGTGGTCTGAGGTTGAACATAATAGTTTGACTTGCCTTTTCCATCTCCTGGCTTTCCTCCTTTGCCATCATCATCCTTGCCTTTCTTGCCTTTCTTTCCTTTTCCTTTTCCTATATTCTGGAAGTATCCATACTCATCCATGTAGTACAGATCATCATAGGCCCAATAGCCTTCATTCCAGGGTTGATCATCGGCCCAATAGCCGTCATAGTTTTCATTCCATTCATCATCTTGCCAATCTTCTTCATAATCTTCTTCACTCACCATGTGAGCACGGCCTTTTCTTCTTCCTTTACCTCGGCCTTTTCCTTTTCTTGATCTGAAGAACCTTCGTCCTCCTCTGCCTTTTCCTTTTCCTTTTCTCTTTCCTTTACCTTTGCCTCGTCTGATGTATTTGCCTTGGAACCTTCTCTGATACCATGTGAAGTTGGCGTCATCATAAACCCAGAAAACATCTTCTAAAGCATCCAGGAATCCTTCTGCGCCGTCTTCTTCATCTTCGGCCCAATAGCCGTCGGTTCCTTCTAATTCACCTTCATCCAGTACGAGGAAAGATCTTCTCTGTGCCATGCCAGAGGGTTGCATCAATGGATTGTCAACTGCTGTTTTGGTAGTGCAAAACATTTCCAAAAACAGGTCACGTAGTTCTTGAATGTTGTATCTATCGAGGGTTCGTCCACGATGTGTCATGATACTTGTGAGTGTGTTTCTCTGATCTTGACTCAGGTCAGCTAGACTTACAAAAATCAATGCTAGCAAATTTTCACCCAGTGGGAATGCTTGTCGCTGTACTTGTCTACGATCTTCCTGAAATTGTCTAAATGCCGCTAATGCCAGTTCATCTGACCAAGGAACAACTACATGGGGTGTTCCTGAGGCTGCTGCTACATCAGCTCTCTCTTGTTGATCTCGTTCATGTTCTTGACGTCGTTGTTGAACAAACAGAATTGCTTCAGGACTAGTCACTGTTACTTCTGGAAGTAAATCCATCCAAGACTCAATAAGTCTATTGCCAGTGAGTTGAAATCTAGTCATCCACTTCTGAAGATCCATGGTTCCTCTGTTGAACTTCATGAACTGCATGAAACGGTATAAGAACACGTTCTGGGCACCTTTGATGAAATGAGGTCGTAGAAATCTTTTGAAATAAGCCACTCCTTCATAGGGATCCCTGAGCAATTCTCTATCCAATAGCCTCTTGTATTGTTGAGCATCTCCTTCCAGTCTGTTGCGCAATGCTGGACCACGTTTCTCTGGTTCTAACTCCGTAATGTCACACCAGTCATCAATTGCATCCTCAAAAGCAAAGAAGCTGGTTCGCCCATCATAGGCTGGAGCAACCTTTGTGGTCATCTGTTGCGTCATATGAATCTGTGTTTGCTGGGGTGCTCTTCTCATTGCATAAGAGTCATATTGGTTCCATTCATTTGCATCGACAATGTCGAAGTCATCATCATCATAGCCATGGCTTGCCATTGCTTGGGCTCTACCTGGAGCTCACCCTCAATGAGGGATCACTGCTCCGCTACCACTTGAAGAGGGGCCCTAGCGTCTACTTCAAGATCAGCTAAGGCGTCTTCCCCAATGACAGCACTTGTTTTACTCAGCCTGTTGCCGGTCCGTGCTGGTCTACAGGGTTACTCTATATACCTCTTGAGCCTTGAAGGGCGCATATAAATGTGCTCAATACTCATGCATGTACCTATGTAGGTATTAGGTCGAAACAAAAACAAGGGCGCAGCGCCTCCCCCCAAAGCAGATTGGAAACACCTATTTTACATGCAAGGTGCTGGGTTGAATGTGATACTCAAGGTGTATAGACTACACGACATGCACCCTGGAAACATGTGGAATACAGTATATATACTTATATATATAAAAGTATATATATATATACATTTATATGATTTATATATATATATACATATGAATGTACATATATATATAAGTACATAAATATATATTTATATATTTATATGTAAATATAAATATATAAATATAAATATAACTATATAAATATAAATATAAATATATCAATATAAATATGTAAATATAAATATATCAATATAATATATATATATATAAAAATAAGTGTATATATACATGCATAAATATAAATATATGTATATATTTACACATATATATATATGTAAATATATATATATATATATTTGAATTTGAACATAAATAGTAATAATGTGTATATAAGAAAATATAAGTAGAAAATATAAATAATATAAATATATTTAGATATAAATATATAAGTGTGTATATAAATGCATAAATATATATATATATACATACATATATATATATATGTATGTAAATATATAGAATTTAGTTTAAACATAAATATTAATATAGTCGATTCAAACTAGTGTATTGAAAAATGTGCAAGTTTGACATACTAAAAATACCACCAAAAGCCATGGAAAGCAAGCCAAAAAGCCAAAAGCAAACAAGCAAAAAGCAAAAAAACAAAAAAGCAAAAAAACAAAAAAGGCAAAAATAACAAAAAGCAAAAAAACAAAAAGCAAACAAGCAAAAAAGCAAAAACGCAAAAAAATAAAAATAAAAAAGCAAAAAGCAAAAAAGCACAAAAGCAAACAAGCAAACAAGCAAAAAAGCAAAAAAGCAAAAAAAACAACAAAAAAAAAAGCAAAAACAAAGCAAACAAGTAAAAAAAACAAAAAAAAACAAAAAAGCAAAAAAGCAAAAAAGCAAAAAAAATAGGAGAAAGCAAGATAAAACAAGAAACCCAAAAAAAAATCCAAAAACGTAAAAGAAAAAAAATCCAAAAACACATAGGCCTCCCATATTTATCCGGCCTTCAAGGCCGCAAAAATCCAATCCATGAAGAGATTTTCCATTTTGTAACGGTGAGACCCAGGTCTCACTATGGGGGTGCACTTGGGGCTAATGGAAATATATAACTATATATAACTAGTAGTAGTACCGCGCAAGGCGGTAGCGGAAGTTTCAAAGATAGGACGCTATGATAGGAGAGGTGCAACTTTTGATCTCTCATCTCCCCAGACGGCTCCGCACACGCCGCTTTAGCGAGCCTACTTTTCGACCCTCCGGAGCCGCAAAACATTGGAAAAACACCGTGTTCGAGACTTTCCTACCTTTTCTGGCACCTGGATCTTCTTTCTTCTGACTCTTTCTCTTCTCTGACTCTTCCCACCTTTGCTTTTCCATCTGTCGAGTCCATATTGTTGGAAGTTTGACTTCTAAACTTCCTTCGATAACCAATGGGAAACCTCCAAACGTTGGGACATGGGGCCCAACCATGGTGAAATCTTATCCACATCCATTGCTGGGTTCCACCGCAAGTCACCACTTGTTACCACTGGATGAATCAATGGATGAATGTCCACCAGCATTTTGCGGCCCAGATGGCCCCCCAAAAAGAAAACAAACCCTCTGGTAATTTAACATAGCTATTGAAAATTGCCATTTATAGTTGATTTCTATACTAAAGATGATTATTTCCCATAGTTTTTTGTATGTTTACCAGAGGCTAATCCCTTAATCATCCTTCATCGATTCCCCACATGGACGATTTCCTGGGAAAACAGGCCAACCCTGCGGTGCCCATCACGTCCTCATGACGTTGGCGATCGTTGGAACTTCCACATCCACAGCCTTGGCCCTCAGCTGTTCGGGATCTGATCATTGAAACCAGAGATCTTTGGAAACGTCAGTGGTTTTAATATGTTTTAATGACCATCAAATGTGAGTTAACAGTCCAGAAATTAGTGATTAAATCAATGTGGGGGTTTAATTTCTGGATTTAATCACTCTCCAGTTTTTTTTTAATGGGGAAGTTTATCTGGATTCATTCATGATTTAACGACCATCAATTAATTGGAAGTTTGTGATGTTTTTTTTGTCATTTCTTGATTTGAATTCAATGATTATAAATTCATGGGTGGGTTATTCCAATGATAAACCTGGTAGCGGATCAATTCCTGGGCTGCGTCGTGTCTCGAGGTTGTCTCCATGTTGTTTGGAGGTTTCCTGACTGGGGGTACCCCCAGTAATTCAGCGAAGTAGATGGGATTTTCCATGAAATAAACCATCCAATGCTCACTTGGGGTACCCCCAAAAAACAGAAAGACCGCATTTTAAACATTTTTAAACCAGATCCATATTTGCCCTCTTTTGGTTTAGACATCACCTGAATTGATTGTTTTTTCACATCTTCGCGGCAAAAAGGTCATCCTGGACATCAGGCACCAGGAGCCAATGCAGCCAAGGATCAAGACGTAGTTTCTGGGAGTGATGATCAGCTCTTGTTTCTGGCCATTGGCACCCGCCACGTGAAAGGTCAACTGGCCGTCCGTTTCTGCTTGGATTTGGAGATTCGGAGGTCGGAGATTTGGGGATGAGCGAAACTTGAACGTGTCGTGGATTTAGAGTAACCCACGACCCACGCACACACACACACATATATATATATGTATATGTATTACAGCCAATCTATATCCAAATCCTGCTTGTTTCAAAGCACAATCATCTCAAAGCACCGGATCAAAGCATGATCAGAATTATTTTCAACAGCAGATCAGTGGGATAAACCCATGGAGATCAGTGGGAAGATCAATGGGAGATTGGGATGTGAAAATCTGCGGAAGGTTTTTACACCACCAAGCATTGAGCTTGGTGGAGTCAAAAAAAAACAGCGTTTATATGAGATTTTTCCCAGAAGGTCTGTACTTCACCATGATGATCGTGTCGCCAAGTCGGGTCAAGTCGGGTACAGTTTTCGGCTGGGGCCTGGGGATCAGAATATTCACCCAGACCTTAGGATTCCTCAAATGAAGCACCAGGTAGTTCAGCAGAATGAATCCCCAAGAAACATAACAAACACCATTCATTCCCACCGTATCCCCATCTTGCCGTCCCCAAGAACCTTCACCAATATTTTCCACACCCGCCTCCGGCATCTCCTGATTGAGATCCACACCCTGAAGCTGCATGGGACCGAGAAAATCTCAGAGACGTATGGGCGGTGCGTCATAGTATACCTATCTATGATCAGCGAAATGAATGGGGACCACCAGCTTGTTTGATGTGAAAAGCAGGGAATTCGGAATGATTCCGAGGTTTTGATCGATAAGATAAGAATGTCATTAGCACAAGGCCCCCGAGTTATAGGCTATAAGTGGCTTTAAATAACAGCAGCAAAAAAGCAATCTCCACCACAAATCCATCCATTGGCATCTGCGTCCCCGTTGGGATGTCCTGGATGTTTTTGTGGGTCAAAACCCTGGCACCCGGATGGTACCCTAAAACAGCTGCTTAATGGACGGTTCTTCATGGTTCTTCCCCCAAATATGGCAATAATAGGTGTTGACCCATATGCCATGTCTCACCGTTTTTTGGTGAAAGCACCGTTTCGAATCCCTATTCTCCCCCTTCGCAAATGTCTTTTAATGTCACCCCTTGAAACCGGAGACATCTCCATGGATGCTTCCTCCATAGACCTTGTGCCTCAGGGGAATGGGGAAGTACAAAGACCCCTGATGTCAAAAAATCTCCTGTGAAAGTTGGTAAATCTTCAGGACATCTTCGGATTCTCCCCCATTTAAACAATGGCAACGATTATTTCAACGAACATCAACACCACCCCTTTTTCAAAATCTGCCATTCCAATAGAGACCGGCCTCGATCCAGCTGGCGCAGTGTTCCAATAGCAGCTGGAGTGTCAGGGCTGGTGGAAGCTGGAATTCTGGCCGCAGATCAGCGGATTTTCATGGATGAGAGGATCGGCTTTGGAGAGGATCAATGAAGATTTGGGCAGGGGATATTCATGATATACTCATGATGATTCTGATTTAGACAGTTAAAATGGCCCCATGAATTGATATTTTTTTGGTTATATAATGCCTACTTAAAAGTGGGTGACACCACTCTCCTTGAGGATGGCAATGGTGATCCGGATGGTGTGTAATTCAGATCTGGGACCGAGATCAAACTCTGGAGTTACAGTCAGAAGCAGGGGGATTTCATGACCGCAAGATTTAAGTACCCTCTGGTAAACATACAAAAAAACGATCGAAAGATCCACCATTTTCTAGCTGGGTAAATCCACTATTTCTATGGCCATTTTCAATAGCTATGTTAAATTACCAGAGGGTAGATGAACTGTTGGATGAAACAGGGACTTACAGCAACTGAGATGAGGTGAACCACCAGGAAGATGGGGCAGCAACGGCTTCAGCAGAACTGGTTTTGAGCAACTTCGCCTCATTCTTTTTGTGTCCGCTGAAATTGTTGAACAATATGTTGAACAATATTTCACACCCAAATTTTGGTGTGGTTGGTTCTCTTCAAAAAAAGAACATATTTCAGACACATTTTTTTCTGGTTGGTGATTGTTGGTTCTCAGAATAAGATCCTCATGACATCCCCCCCAAACGGCGCCAAAGTTGATGGTTCCATTTGGAGCTTTCCAATCCACTGGGGATCCGCACCTTCCTGGGAGCCTTCCTTGGAGGCTTGCTGGGAGCCTTCCTGGGAGCCTTCCTGGGACTCTGCGTCCTGCGATTCCTCAGGCGCCAAGGGTTTTTTGGCGGCCGCCGCACCTGGGCGAAAGACCATTTCTGCAGAGATCGGTATTTGGATGATTTAAAATGCTTATTGGTCAATCATGTATGTATATATATATATTATATGTACAATATTCTTAAACTTCCGGCATGTAGTAGTATTTATTGTTGAATCGCAGTTTATCTTGGTTGAATTCCAGTTTTGCTTTGTCAATTTACAGGAAAAATCCGTATTTGCGTTCATTCAAGTTGCCATTCGCCTTCTTACCCTGATACTTGCTGTGACCCACATCGGCTAGGCAGTTCTGAGCGAGATTCAGAACACTCAGGGGTGAATACCTACCCCTGGAATGCACCGTCATGCGCTATCATGCTGTCCATTTGTAGTGGAATTTTGCTGTGGTTGAGAATCCTGCACCGATGGAAGTCCGTGTTTCATAGTTACCTTCATAGTTACCAACTGGTGCAGGATGGCTTGTCCATCCGTAGCGGGTTGTCACCTTCGCCACCGCTTCACTTTCGTGGGGATGAGGTAAACTGCCATACCACGTTGGGTTGGAAGAACATCAAGACAGACTAAAGCTTGAAACATGCGGGAAATATGCGGGATGCAACCTTCACTGCATGGGACGATATGATCGTAAACCATCTCTGGAGTCAACTTGCGGTTCCAACCAGTCACTGCTGCACTGCAGGCGAAAGGTTGAGTATGTCCATGTTCAAGCGGTATCTACGAGTGTATCATGTATTTTGCAAAATACATAACAATATAGTTACTTAATCTTGCTTGTATCATATAATTATATATATATATACATACATATATATATACATATATATACATATATATATACATATAATAATATATGTATGTTCATACAGATACACATAGACATATACTGTATATATCTAGATACATAATGATACATACACATTTTGCATACCATATCTCTATATAACGTATATAAACATAATACTAAATAACATAACCATACAGTCTCATCGCTGGAACAGTCTCTTTCACATGCCCTTCCGATGATGCAGAGTCGAAATCATTCGAATTCGTTGCCGTAAACCCCCAAAACAACGCTGGCAATCGAACATCCCGATGTTCAATCAGGACCCTCACAAAAACTATGGAACATCACCATTTTTAATGGGCAGATCAACTATAAATTGCCATGTTCAATGGCAAACTGTTAGTTTTCCAGAGGGTAAATACCCCCAAAAAATGGTAAAAGTATGTAAAAGTTCCGTTTTGTGAGGTAAGACAGCATTTTCACTACAAAAAAAACGTCAGTCGCAAAAATCACCGGTCGCCATGGCACTTTTTAGGCCAGCTGGAGTGAACTCCGCTGGAACTTTGTTTCCCAAAGGAATAGGACCTGCATGACCTGCAGCAACGATGGCATCGGCTTCCAAAGCTCGAATTCGATGGCAAGTTTCAATGGAAAAAAACATGAACATTATAATGGGAGAGATCATGGGGATGAATATGATCATAATATTCATAATCAATTAATATTTCCAGTAGTTGACGAAACAGGAATACGGGGAAGATCATGGACGATCATGGACGATCATGGAATATGAATAGAATGTAAAAAAAGAATGGGATGATCCATGATGATGGGGATATCATTTTTGGATACTCTTGGTGTACCCAAAGGGCCACAGTCATCCACAGTCACCATTTCCCGTTCTAACGATATGATGATCCCGTGTGGTTGCTTTGATTGGCCCTTTTTGGAGAGTCAGGCGTCATAGCTATCACCTACTTCTGTCACGAGACCAATGGCTCAGCAAATTCCAGTTCAGTTGGACACCACTCGAGTTGTTTCGCAGTCATGGCTCAGAGAATTCCATTTCAGTATTTTCAGTTGGACATCACTCTAGTTGTTTCATGTTGTTTCGCAGTAAGAAATCCAACTGTTCATCCTTTTTTCTGAAGACCTTTTCCTTCCAAAGATGTTCTCTTTGGAACATCTTCCCGCCTTCGCTCTGATTCATAGCTCCTGATGGCGGGGTTCATCCAGGAACCGAAAAAAAATCCAGGAACTGAGAGTCGTATCATGTCGTATCCATAGATCTAAACATTATCCCGAAAACATTACCCTCTGGTAAACTAACATAACTATGGAAAATCACCATTTTCAATGGGAAAATCCACTATTTCTATGACAATTTTCAATACAGTAGCTATGTTAAATTACCAGAGGGTAGGTGAAAAATTCCATAATTTTGGCACGCGTTATTTTTGAATTGGCTACTGTATATATAGCCCGCCAATATCATGGCTACAGTATTCGATGCAAGGCGATGCTGGAAAATGATCTAGTCACGGGAGGATCCCCACACGTTGTCAAACATGATTTTGGATCATCTTATTTGTAGGGTGGAACATCAAGGACATGTTTGAAACCACCGGTTACCAGGCAATAAACTAGGATACCAGATGTGGCTCCAAAACCGGTTGGTGACCAGTCTCCGACCCGTAACCATACCAGTCTCAGATATCTGAAGTCTCATTGATTTATATTGATTTATTGTTATAAAAAACATCAGTATAACGATATCTGAATTCTATCCCAATGGTTGATAACATTGTATAACCATATTGCGAAGATCACTGGGCGATAGGATTCATGACAGGAAACGCCCTCCTTTTTGAGCTGATGATTCTGAACAAACTCACCATTGATGGTGTCATTGGCCAAAGAAAAACTCCGAATGTCACAGGAAACCACATGTATGTATATATATATATACATATATATATATATATATCTCTTAGGTTATTTTTTGGTTTCTTTCCATTCAGAGTTTCAATGGCCCCCAAAATCCATATCCAAGATAAATAACATCGCATCAACCTAAATCCCTGAACAAATCCCAAAATCCAACGACTCCAACGACTCCAGCAGCCGCAAAAAAACACGAAAATCGTCCTTCGGTCTGTGGGGTCAACAGCTCTGCCATCATGGCGGCCACGAGCTCGGGCTCCTTGGATTTGCGGCAAAAACATCGAAGATGAACAAAGGGATTGAACGTCTATGATCTGTTGGCGAATAATGGCGAATCATGGTTAATCATGATTATTGATGGTTAATAATGATCAATGATGCTTACAATTAAATATGGTTGATTACAGACTAAAACACTATAACTATAACAAACAATAGGGAGAGTTGTTATCGGTAATTCTTCATGTGTTGTCAACAATACACCAGCCCGAAAACCCAGCATTTTTTGTGGGTGATATTCCAACCATCCCCAAAAAAGCAAGTTTTTGTGGGGTTTCTATGGGTTTCTATGGGTTTCTCAACGCCGAAAAAGATGCCAAAGTTGGTCAATTCGGCATCTTCTTGGTGTTTTGATCTTGTTGGGTGATTTTTTTTGGTGTTCAGAAAAAGGCCGCTGGGCCAGCTTTTTGAAGCTTACCCCAAGCGTTGACCTAGAGAGGTTATGATGTTCATGAAGGTAAGGCCATCCTTCAGCCGATAGGTTGAGGTAAGATCTACAGGAAACCAGAATTGTTTTTGCTCACGCCCTCTCTAACGGTCCAGTTGAATTCGGTCTTTTTGTAAGCATTTCCAACACACGCAGGTGTTTCGGCGTTGGGATGTGAATTTGGTGGGGGGGGCCAATACTGTTCTTTATCTGCTGATTTTCGTCAATTTGGTGTCTTGTGTCCTGCATGTTACTGTTTTGTTATCGATTTTGTTCCTATATGCAAACTGCTGTACGCTCTTACATGCTCTGCGTTCTGTAACGCTCCACTCCACGTTCTGTAACATGCTCTACTCTGAATAACATGCTTTAGGTTCTTCCATGTTCTACGTTCTGCAACATGCTCTACGCTCTATAGCATACTTTACGTTCCATAACATGCTTTACGTTCTGTAATATGCTTTGCGGCATTGGCACAATCCTTCTCCCCACAGGTCTGACGCGCAGTTTGCATGGGTTGCTTTATCGGATTGTCCGAAGTGATGACACCAATTTTCGCAGTTTTTAAATTGTCTGTAAAACATCTTGAATCCTTAGAACGAGTTCCAGAGCTGAAACCGCTGTAAAATCATGTAAAACCCGTATGAGAGTGGACCTCCGCAAGTTCTGAAGCCATCCATTTTAGCCAAGTTGAATGCACAAAATCAGCATCTTCGCCCACCTTCTGGATCATGGCAAAGGGAATTCCTCCTGGTGGGGGAAAGGAAGATATTGCTATGGGGGGGGCTAGGGCCGGCTAGGATATTATAGGATTTATATGGGATTTATATGGATTTATCGGGGATGGTTAGGATCCTATGATCTTTAACTAAGATCTGGACAATTCCGAAATCGGATACAGTAAGCCTATTCTTTGGGATCATTCCCAATAGCCGACTGATTGATGGGCTTTGCCAGAGAAGTTGCTACCTCTTCCCGCTGGGACTGGTATCTTGGAATGCCTCTGTCTTGGTTGGGGCGCGGGTCAAATTCCAGAGGTGCCACAGGTGTCTATCTATGTCTATCTTCATGGTATGCCCTTTAGACCCAAAGCTGCTTGGGTCTCTGTGCCTCTTAAGTTTCCCGACAGATGCAGTACAAGTAGGTGTGTGGGCATCGGTCCATAAAGAGAAGACAACAAGGAGTCTATTTTTGGCGGCTAGATGCCCCTTCTTCGATCTCAAACACACTGTTTGATTGCTCGTTGTATCGTTCACTGGTCGCAAACCCATGTTTGGCGTTCCACTGCCAAAATTTGATTGTTGTGTTGATCGATAGCTTCATGTTTTCTCGTTCCATGCCTCTTTTTCATGTTGCTTGGGCCTTTTTTGTCTATGGAAATCACAGTGTCAACTAGAAATCAGTCATGTTTATGCCTACGGCAGGAAAACCGTACGTGCGTTTTGCTACTTTTTTGCGTATTGCTGCTTGGGGTGGGGTGGGGTGGGGTGGGGTGGGGGGGCATGTTAACGTTCCTGCTACGCTGCTGATGGGGTGGGGTGGGGTGGGGTGGGGGGGCATGTTAACGTTCCTTGTACTTCGTGCATTATATATTGCCATGTTGCTAAGATTTCTGGGATCTTTTACTACGTTACATGTTGCTACGCTGCTGAGATCTCTGGGATCTTGTACGACGTTACATGTTGCTACGCTGCTGAGATCTCTGGGATCTTTTACTACGTTACATGTTGCTACGTTGCTAAGATCTCTGGGATCTTTTACTACGTTACATGTTGCTACGTTGCTAAGATCTCTGGGATCTTGTACTACGTTACATGTTGCTACGCTGCTGAGATCTCTGGGATCTTTTACTACGTTACATGTTGCTACGTTGCTAAGATCTCTGGGATCTTTTACTACGTTACATGTTGCTACGCTACGCTGCTGGGTGTGTAAAAAACTCGTCGAATCCACATCTGATGCACGTGGTATTCGCAAGGAATTGTCAAAATTCAATAGATTTTGCATCCACTTTTTTTGACCAAAATTCAATTATCAAACGAGTTCGGAACAGCATTTTATACTGTAAATTACAGGTGATTCTGACTCTCCTGGAAACACACAATCAAAACGCTCGCGCGGTTTCCCTTCCGCCGGGATGTTTATGATTATGGAACCATAACTATTTATGACCATAATTTACCAATGATTATCTGGTTGGTTGTATACCTACCCCTCTGAAAAATATGAGTTCGTCAGGGTTACGACATTCCCAATATATGGAAAGTCATAAAATTCCGTGGTTCCAAACCACCAACCATAATATACCTAGTGACTGGAATTACTATTATGATGTTATGTATAGTTCGTCAGGGTTACGACATTCCCAATATATGGAAAGTCATAAAATTCCGTGGTTCCAAACCACCAACCATAATATACCTAGTGACTGGAATTACTATTATGATGTTATGTATACAATGGTTATTACTATACAATGACTATAATTATGGTTCCATAGCAATTGATCATGGTCACATCCCAACGATTCGATGACCATATTTCGGAACCAAAAAAATTGGGGACCTGGTCCGGAGACGGCGATGCCAGCTTTCGCCATCTTTTGCAATTCCTGGACCGGGATCGAACATAAGAAGGTGCCAGAGAAATCTTGGGTTTTACGGCCAGTTCACTAGTTCGATATAGCTAGCGAGTTGGTTTATGATAGCTATATCAGGCTATATCATATAGCCTGATATAGCCTGATATAGCTATCATAAACCCACTCGCTAACCAATGGTGAGTTCTAAACCAACAGCTATCGTCTGAAGCCACCTTGTACAAGTAGGGATTTTTCACGATCGGGAGTTGACCAAAATGGAATTTGGGGTAGCGACCCTATCGACGTTTTCAAAAGGCTGGCCACATCTGGCCACGTTTAGACATTCTTTAAGTATTAAACATTATTAAACCATATTTTAACCAGCTTTAAGTATCAGACCATCTTATTATACCATATTTAAACCATATTAAACCATTATTACCATATTTAAACCATATTTATACCATATTAAACCACCCAGTCATGACCTGTGATCATGTTGACACACCCAGTCATGACCCGTCACCCGGATGATGAAAAGGTAGCAGGGATCATCCTTGAAGGTTCCGAGTCACTGCAGCTTCTGACGTTTATTTAGGATCGTTTATTAAAAAAACAGCATGATGATATTATGGTTGATAGATGTTGATAGTTGATAAATCACAAGCCCTGAAATATGTTCCTAAATGTCATGTAAACATGTGTGGACTACCTTGTAGTATTATACATTTTAATAAATCGCGAGTCCATGCCAGTCCAATGTTCAAAATGGCGGACACCAGACCAGTGGGTACCACCCCAAAACGCAGCTTGTAAACCACTTATTAGCAGTATATCCGCCGACCCCTGCCTAGCCTTGGCCCAGGCGGGGCGGCGCCTGGGATCACCGCAGGTGTGCGGCTTTGGCCTGCTAGGACCTCGGCCTGCACGGTCCACCAGACACCAAACCCTTTGCCACTGCCTTCCCAAGTCACCGCGAACACATTGCCCTGCAGCGGAGGCCTTTGCCAGCGCTTGGCCATGTCGCCATATCGCCATACCCCACTCCATCCATGTAGAGGGTGACAAAACCTGCGCGAAGCACGGTCCATCAGGACACAAGACCCCTCTGTGGGCCTTTTCCGCTTTGCTGCTGCCTTCCCAAGTCACCGCGAACACGTCGTTGCCCTGCAGCGGCAGCCCTTTGCCAGCGCCTGGCCGTGTTGCCATACTCCATTTAGAGGGTTTCAAAACGTGTGCGAAGCACGGCCCATCACGACACAAAACCCGTCTGTGGGCCTTTACCGCTTTGCCGCTGCCTTCCCAAGTCACCGCGAACACGTTGCCCTGCAGCGGCAGCCCTTTGCCAGCGCCTGGCTAGTCGCAATACTCCGTTCAGAGAGTTAGAGGGTGACAAAACCTGAGCGAAGCACGGTCCATCAGGACACAAGACGCCTCTGTGGGCCTTTACCGCTTTGCCACTGCCTTCCCAGGTCACCGCGAACACGTAACCTGCGCGAAGCACGGGCCATCAGGACACAAAACCCCCGTGTGGGCCTTTACCGCTTTGCCACTGCCTTCCCAGGTCACCGCGAACACGTTGCCCTGCAGCAGCAGTCCTTTGCTAGCGCCTGGCTAGTCGCAATACTCCGTTCAGAGAGTTAGAGGGTGACAAAACCTGCGCGAAGCACGGTCCATCAGGACACAAGAGCCCTCTGTGGGCCTTTACCGCTTTGCTGCTGCCTTCCCAGGTCACCGCGAACACGTTGCCCTGCAGCGGCAGCCCTTTGCCAGCGCCTGGCCATGTCGCCATACTCCATTTAGAGGGTTTCAAAACGTGCGCGAAGCACCGCACATCACGACACAAAACCCGTCTGTCGGCCTTTACCGCTTTGCCGCTGCCTTCCCAGGTCACCGCACACACGTTGCCCTGCAGCGGTAGCCCTGTGCCAGTGCCTGGCCATGTCGCCATAATCCATGTACCGCCTTGAAGCTGCTTCCCCTTGTCACCGTGAACACGTTGCCCTGCAGCGGCAGCCCTTTGCCAGCGCTTGGCCATGTCGCCATATCGGCATACTCCAATCCATCCATTTAGAGGCATTTAGAGGGTTTCGCAACCTGCGCGAAGCACGGGCCATCAGGACACAAAACCCCCGTGTGGGCCTTTACCGCTTTGCCACTGCTTTCCCAGGTCACCGCGAACACGTTGCCCTGCAGCAGCAGTCCTTTGCCAGCGCCTGGCCAGTCGCCATACTCCATTTAGAGGGTTTCAAAACGTGCGCGAAGCACGGCCCATCACGACACAAAACCCGTCTGTGGGCCTTTACCGCTTTGCCACTGCTTTCCCAAGTCACCGCAAACACGTTGCCCTGCAGCAGCAGCCCTTTGCCAGCGCCTGGCCATGTCGCCATAATCCATTTAGAGGGTTTCAAAACGTGCGCGAAGCACGGTCCATCAGGACACAAAACCCCTCTGTGGGCCTTTACCGCTTTGCCACTGCCTTCCCAGGTCACCGCGAACACGTTGCCCTGCAGCAGCAGTCCTTTGCCAGCGCCTGGCCAGTCGCCATACTCCATTTAGAGGGTTTCAAAACGTGCGCGAAGCACGGCCCATCACGACAGAAAACCCGTCTGTGGGCCTTTGCCGCTTTGCCGCTGCCTTCCCAAGTCACCGCAAACACGTTGCCCTGCAGCGGCAGCCCTTTGCCAGCGCCTGGCTAGTCGCAATACTCCATTTAGAGGGTTTCAAAACGTGCGCGAAGCACGGGCCATCAGGACACAAAACCCCCGTGTGGGCCTTTACCGCTTTGCCACTGCCTTCCCAGGTCACCGCGAACACGTTGCCCTGCAGCAGCAGTCCTTTGCTAGCGCCTGGCTAGTCGCAATACTCCGTTCAGAGAGTTAGAGGGTGACAAAACCTGCGCGAAGCACGGTCCATCAGGACACAAGAGCCCTCTGTGGGCCTTTACCGCTTTGCTGCTGCCTTCCCAGGTCACCGCGAACACGTTGCCCTGCAGCGGCAGCCCTTTGCCAGCGCCTGGCCATGTCGCCATACTCCATTTAGAGGGTTTCAAAACGTGCGCGAAGCACCGCACATCACGACACAAAACCCGTCTGTCGGCCTTTACCGCTTTGCCGCTGCCTTCCCAGGTCACCGCACACACGTTGCCCTGCAGCGGTAGCCCTGTGCCAGTGCCTGGCCATGTCGCCATAATCCATGTACCGCCCTGAAGCTGCTTCCCCTTGTCACCGTGAACACGTTGCCCTGCAGCGGCAGCCCTTTGCCAGCGCTTGGCCATGTCGCCATATCGGCATACTCCAATCCATCCATTTAGAGGCATTTAGAGGGTTTCGCAACCTGCGCGAAGCACGGGCCATCAGGACACAAAACCCCCGTGTGGGCCTTTACCGCTTTGCCACTGCTTTCCCAGGTCACCGCGAACACGTTGCCCTGCAGCAGCAGTCCTTTGCCAGCGCCT